CTTCGGTGTCTTTGGACAACGTGTTTTACACGTTGCAGTCCGTCATGGAGTGCATCTTGGAGACTGGTGGAAGCAACAAGTACAAGCTGAAGCACCTAGGCAAAGAAGCGAAGCGTCGGCGCGGTGAGCTCGAAGAGTCGTTGACATGTTCTGCTGACACGTACCTTGCTGCTCGGCTTGCAGGCTTGTAATCCAAGGATAATTTTGACCAATACAATTGTTTGAGTTTCAATTTTAACCAATAGTGTGAAATCACGACAATCAAAACCGGATATCGGAAATATGAATCACGACAATTGAAGTCGGACAGAGGTAGTATTGGTGTATAATTAGACTGTCGTGGCACCACAATTCTGGCATGGCGTCATTCGAGAGTTGTGTTGGAGGATGCAAGGTACGTTCATGTCATGCAAGTTCTGCTCGGTGTTCATGTCCATGCATGTTCTTCTCGGTGTTTCCTTAGCACAAGCGTTTTACAGTTTACAACTATTCCCCCTACTTCGGTCGAAATAGCCAGGTGGAATTTGCGTAGTGAACTTCGTGTGAAACGATAAGTGTTTTTTTTTTCCTTTGACCAACCAGCGAAAATCCTTTTCAGGTGAGAGTTTTTCCCATTATATCATGGGTTTGTGTCGTACTGCGTATAACTTGAATCTGCGTCTGTGATATCCTTGGTCGGATAATCATTTGATAGCCTTTCAAGCCCAGGGCCATACCTTAAGGGGCATAAGGATTACTGTCTGGGGGGTGTAGTTGATCCTATTTTAGGATGCGTATCAAACTATCACTAACGACATGCTGATGGCAGCATCTATGGCCATTCATCGGGAGGTTCAATTCATCGAGGAGGCCCTCCACGACATCGAACTTGGCGAAGATCCACCGTTCCTTCCTAAAGATCCCGTTCAAGCTGCGATTCAAGTGCGCATCCACGCCGAAACACTGTCAATTACGTCGGACGGCAATCAGGAAGGTGGCCACAAGCGGCTGCAAGTTCCTGGGAAAACGAAGACGTGGCCGCACTGCCGAGCAAAGTTGATACCCCACGGCTACAATAACCTGCCCAGTGCTTTGAAGGGCAAGGTCAAGATTGATCCTTACGTTTTCCCCAACTCGCCGGAAATGCAAGCGTTCAAAGACCTTTTCAACGCCATCGCAATTGTGCGCAAGTACAGGAAGCCATGTCTCTTTGTCTCCATGACGTGCAACCCCAATAGGCCGGAGATCATCAGTCAACTCAAGCCACATCAAACGTCAGCTGAACGCGATAAAATTGTCACATGCGTGTTTGAGTCGAAGCTAACGTATTTCGAGAACAATATCCACAAGCAACACGTCCTTGGCAATGTTGTCGCATCCGTGCGTGTTGAAGAGTTTCAAAAGCATGACTTGCCGCATGTGCACATGCTCCTCATCATGGAAAACCAAGATAAGTTCATGACCGTCGATGACATCAACTCTGTGGTATCCGCGCGCATCACAGACGAGATCAAGAACCCCCAGCTACACGAGTCAGTGAAGAACTTCATGACCCATACGTGCACACATGTGTAATACGACGACAATGGACAGCCGATTCCAAGTGCGAGGGCTTGTACCGACAAGACTGGCAAGTGCAAGAAAGGCTTTCCGCAGCCCCTCCAAGGCACCACAACCGAGGGGGTCGATGGATATGCCAAGTACCGTCGCCACACAGCCGCAGACCAGTACTGTGTGCCACAGAACCCGTACTTGGTGCACAAGTACAACTGCCACATCGACATCGAGGTTTGCACAAGCTTCAAGGCCGTCAAGTATCTGGACAAGGGCATCGATCGGATCACATACGCTGTCTTCATCGACCGGGAACGCCAGCCCTTGCTTGATGAAGTACGGGAGTACGTTGAAGGACGCTACGTGACCTCCCTCGAAGCCATCACATGCATCCGCTGCTACGACCTGCAAAGGATGTCCCACGCTGTCGAAGTGTTGCCCGTGCACGAGAAAGATCAACAGCATTGCACCTAAGACGAAACCCACGATGCAGAATCGGTCGTTGCCAAAACTAAAAAGCCAAGTTGATCTCCTTCTTCCTCGCTTGCGCGAAAGGCTTCACCGGGATCGACGGCGTTCCTGCAAAGAACTGCCTGGACTTCCCGCAGTACTTACGATTTGACCAAAAGACCAAGTTGTGGGTTGGAATCAAAACCACGTCAAGGTCATTTGATTGGGTCAGTCCACGTCAAAAGGAGCGGTTCTACATTCGAACCCTGCTTTGCCATATGTATGGACCAACTTCCTTCGAAGATGTGCGCACAGTTCACGGAACTCTGTATCCAACGTACGAAGAAGCTGCGCTGTCCATGGGCCTGTTGGAAAACGACGAAGAATATGTGGTATGTATTCGAAAAGCCATGTTGGACTATATGGACAGACAGCTGCACAAACTGTTTGCCAACATCTTGGTGCATTGCCTGCCAACGAACACGCGAGCTCTGTTTGACCAATTCAAAGCCGATTTCATGGACAAGAGGCTTCGGGGTCTGCGCCGCTGCAATGAAGCACTCCCAGAGCCGCTCAGTGAAGATATGATGCTTGGCAAGGCGATGTTCTGCACACTCAAGAGCATCGACAACTGCTTCCAACACCATCGGATGAGCCTTTTGGACTACCCGACGTTACCTCAACTCCACGAATTCGAAGTATTCAGAGACTTGGGCGAACGGCAACTACTGGACAATGCAATGAGTTGGCTTTATGTCATTGAATCGTCGTAGACGCGTGCAGCCCTCGACGACGTGTTGGTCACTGCTGCGACCATGACCGACGAGCACAGGTCCTTTGTCGCCACCGTTTTGGCCCAAATATACGAGCACGGATCAGGCAAGGCGTACGCCCTTCAAGGCAAAGGAGGCCCAGGAAAGTCGTACGTCTCTCAAATCCTGTTGGCAAAAGTGCGCGACAAAGGGGACATCGCGCTTGCTGTGGTATCGTCTGGGCTGGCAGCTTTGCTGCTTGTGGGCGGTACAACGGTACATTCCCAATTCAAAATCCCCGTCACCAACCTCAACAACAAGTCCCTATGCCACATTCCGAAGCAGTCGCCATTGGCAAATGTCATTCGAAACACCAAGCTCATTGGATGGGAAGAGGTCTCAATGCTCCACAAGTATACCTTGGAGACAGTCGACCGTTCCCTTCGCGACATCATGGGCAGCCCCACAGCCCTCTTTGGCGGCAAGGTAGTTGTTTTCTCGGGTGACTTCAAGCAAATGCTGCCAATCATTCCATGCGACACACCATCGACCTCTGTGGAGGCCTCCTTCAGACGCAGAAGCATATGGAACGACGTGAAAATTGTCAAGCTGACAAAGCTCATGCGGCTACGTGGTGGATCAGACGACGCAAGTATCGAGGAATGAGCCAAGACGTTGGTTGACATTCGCCAGTTTCCATCGAAGTTGCATATGCTATGAACATCAACAAGTCTCAGGGCCAAACGTTAAGTCGCGTGGGACTTATATTGCCAAGCCCGGTGTTCTCTTACGGACAACTGTATGGTGCACTATCTCGAGCCAAAACCAAGGCTGGGATCTCTGTGTTAGTGCGGGACGGCAAGATTCCCGGATTCGAAGGAATCTACACCCAGAACGTCGTGTACCGCTCCATTTTTCAACGACGAAAATTACATAATCCATAATACGGAATTCATTCTTTCTAAATATCGTGCGCACATCCATTAACGTGACGGTCATGAGCGCAACCTGCTTTTTGCCGCAAATAAACAATTCTGCATCATACGTGCCATACCGTATTTCCGCTATGGTATCATCAACCATCATAGCAAATGTAGGAAACCCAAGCTATTTTCAATATTTACCCAACACATGCACCTAAATATTGTATGTATCAATTTTTCACCTCAGCGTAGGTGGGAAAACCTACTGTTTCCAGAAGCTCATTGTCCTTCACATGAAGTGTCCCCGGACGGACATGTTGTTCGTAGTTTCATGCCACACAACGCCGCGGTAACATAGAATCCACCGTCCAAAGTGTGTTGGCGGACGTGTTGCTCGTCACGTTGTTCAAGACAAATATATACCAAGTCCGAAACCCTTGCTGTATTCAGCGAAGCAAATCATCCTGCACATCAAGTTTCTACAGAATTATTTTTCCTCGTGTGATGCCAGACAACACGGCGATAGTTCGAAAACACTGTTACTTCCGAAGTGTATACGGAAATACTGTTCACCACATCCAACACAGCGGTCGTGCCTGCAAGATGGGTTGACTGCACTCTCACCAACACATCACGAGTCAATCTGCGGAGCTATTGGAGTGCCCGCGAGATGGCGCCATTGACCAACATGTCACGAGATAATTAGCGATGCGATTGGACATACTCGCAAGTTGACACCGACGTGCATTCTGATATACACGTCGCGTGTCAAACAGCGACGCAAATGGATGCTCCTGCGAGGTGGAGCTAACTGCTTTCAAGCCAACGCGTCAAAGACCACATCGTTACTGAGTTTAAATGTGCGAATTAGTCTTGCATAGTTGCAAGATTTCTACCGGAGCCTTTCCTACTTCCAGTGGACCCCACAGCACATGCACTAATTCCCATCTTCAAAATACCGAACCCCGTTCTACCGCAGATAGGA